TCTTTTGCTGAGGCTGGCTTTGAACTTGCAATCCTCCTGCCTCAGCCTCCTGAGCCATTAGATTATAGGCATGTACCACTGCACTCAGCTTAATATGTCAATCTCTTAAAGAGAATTCAGCTTTATTATTGTCAATATGTGATCATATTTCTGCATTTGGGAAATAAAGAATGAAGGCAAAGACTGTTAATTCATGAGTAAACACTTTGCAAAAAATTAGATAGTGGTTTAATTTTTGGAAACTTCCCTGTTGATATCAGCTACTGATGGTTTATGTTGTAGGGAAACTTTAAATGAGGAGATGCTAAAGTCTCAGATTACAGATTTCTAAATCCTAGGTAAGAAAGCTTGGAGAGCTTCTAAAATTAGAGAAATTCCAGTTAGAGGAGAGGCCTTCCTTGCAGATGTGTCAGAATATTACAGATTCTAAACAGACTTAATCCTCAAATGTGTTTTACTTGTCCTAAAATAATCTGTACACAAATATAAAATTATAAATAATGAATTGTTTTTCTAACCATAGGGATTTCATGTATTCCATGAAAAGAAAAAAATTTAAATTAAATGTTATATAATAATAATAATAAAAGATTGTAACCAGAGTGTACTCATTTTAATTAATTAATTTATTTTTGAGACAATCTTGTTATGTTGTCCAGGCAGGCCTTGAACCCCTGGTCTTAAGCAATCCTCCTATCTCAGGCTCCCAAGTAGCTGGGACTACATCACCAAGCCCACCTAGAGTATGCTAATTTTATTATGCTTTTTCTGGTATTAGTTTCAGTGGCAAAATGTCTAATACTTCAACTAGTTAATGAACTCCTCCCTCACACCTGGACACTTTAAACTATTACAAGGAATGTTAAATTAAAGATCTTCCAACATGTATTTTTTTCTTTCTCTGAATTTTTCCCTCGGGATGGAATTCCCGATAGAGGTCAAATATCAACATTTTAATGATTTAGGGTGAGTTTTGTCAATTCTTCTGGAAGAATATTTCTTTACACTAGCAGTGTGTGAATAGATAAACTTACCTTAAATAGACTGTAGACCATTTCTTTGAATTTCTGTACAGTAGTTCCCCTAGTTGGCTTATCAAATAGAACTATTTCTTTTCTTGGCTCCAACTCAGTTCCAAAATCAAGATGAAGAGCTTGTTCCATCTGACATTTCACAACACCTGGTAGATTATCCCAAATCCCTAAATACATCTTTGTGAAACAGAATGACAAGA